ACAGGATTCAAATCCAGGTGCTCTCACTGGAGAGCTTGGAATTTTAGGAGTAAAGGAAGGATGGCTATATTGACAGCAGGCAGGCCTGGGGAGTTTCTACCATCAGGGGTCCCACAGCTGAGGGGGTGGTGGTGGATGTGACTCAGAGGTCACAGTTTGCAGAATTGACTTTAAACAAAGAATCTCAAGATTTCCACAAGAAAAATGATACTTGGCTGGGACAATGTACATTGTATTTCCAGTGCCAAAAATTCAAAGAAAGTGGAGCCAGGTGTGGTGGCATATGTCTGTAATCCCAGCCCTCAGGAGACAAAGGCAGAAGAATCACAAGTTTGAGGTCAGCCTGGGCTACAGAGTAAGACTGTCTAAACCCTGATCCCCTAAACAACCAAAAATCCTCCTTGTCCCCAAAGAAATGCCCAAGCAAACCAAACTGTCAAAAAGAGGGACTGGGGGTATAGGCCTGGTTCCAGGCTTTCTGCTCTTCAGCCTGTCCCTGCCTGTGGCAGACACAGACCCTGAATGTCAGGGTGAACTTTTCCTAGAGACCCACAGCTGACAAGGACCAGAAGGGTCCTTATGTCTTAGTCATAAGTTAGAGGACATTGGAAAACATGTTGCCAAGGGTTTGTTCTTTTTTTCCCTTCTTTTCCTGAAAGGGGCTTTTTGTTTGCAGAGCCTTTGTTTGGGGATTCAGTTAATAAAGGGACCATTTTATTGGAATGAGTTACTGACGCAAGCACTGCCAGAACCCTTGCAAAGGGACGGCACTCTGGTTTTCACTCAGCAAGGTGAATGGAAATAAGTATTGGGCACTGGACTGGGCTCAAGAGCACTCTGGAGTTTGCTGCCATCAGCAATTTGAAGAGTTTGGCTACTGGATAATGTAGAAACTAGGCAGGAGACAGTCAGAGGAAGTGCCAGAGATATTTATAAAATATAAAACCTTCCTTTATACAAGAAAAATGCCAAAGGGTTAGGACCTGCTAGCCAGGAATTATACAGAATGAAATCTTTTTACCTATTAAGTTACAAAATAGCCACTAAGAATGGGGTCTCTGTAATGTTTTCAAGCTCACCTTTATGAACCTTTGAGAGAGCCGAGCCAACTGAACACTAGTGAAAAAAATGTCCAACAGCCACAAGAAAACCGTATTTTCTCAGACTTTATAGGACTTACCCAAACATAGGCAATTTAAACATACTTTAAAATAGTTTTCTTCACGGGCTGGGATGTGGCTCGGTGGTAAGAGTGCTTGCCTAAAGGCCCTGGGTTCCACCCCCAACACCAAAAAAACAAAAACAACAACAACAAAAACTTCAGATGGGTGCTCAGGGGACTTTGGAGAAAGGTTAAGAAAATGTGTAAAACTTGTTTTTCCCTCATTATCCAGGACACGTGATACCAACATAAACTCCTAAGGACACATGGGTTCACACAGTCCTTGGACCTGTAATTCCCTGGTGTTTTGCTGAGACTCCAAGACCCAGTGTAATTAAAGTCTGTTAAGTGAATCAGCATTTCTCAGGGAACCTCCTTTGGATGCTGCTGTTTGCAAACAGTGGAATGGAATGTGGCATTTAAGTCAATTGACTGCGAACTCTTCAGATCCAAGGTCATTATTAAGGGCTGATAAAGTTCATAGAACTGGGTAAGAGAAGAGTTCCCCCTTGATATTGTTCCAAGGCCTCTAACACCCATCAGTTCTAAATGACTGAACTCCAAGTATTGATTAGGTAATGGGCGCCTACGGGCAGAGCTGCCAGTGGCCAAGCTTTGGGAGCGCTGCACATTCCAGTCCTTGCACAATGGCTCTTTTCTGAAAAGCAAGGCAAGCCATGGTGGGCTGCTTCCACCCTTCAGTCTTAAGACTGTCAACACATTTAAATGCATCCATTTTCAATGTGTATGTTTTACCTTTTTTCCCCTCTTGTGGTGCTAGGATTAAATGTTTTTCTTTTAATTTCAAAACAGAAAACAATGAGAATTAAATAATAATCCAGTCTGAATTACATCCATCCTTGTAACCTGTAACATTGTTTTTTTTTTTTTTAGTGGTGGAGAGGCTTATGTGAGTCAGTGTGTGGCATCATTAAGCAGGTCACTTAGTCTCCTATCCTGGAGTGTTCAGGGCAGAGGGCCTCAAGCTTGCTAAGCAGGCGCTCTACCACTTGAGACACTCCACCAGTCCTTTTCCTCATTGGGTATTTTCGAGATAGGGTCTCATGAACCATTTGCCCGGGGCTGGCTTCAAACCTCAATCCTCCTGATCTGTTTCCTGAGTAGCTAGGATTACAGGTCTAAGCCACTTAAATGCAATCATCCCTGAAGCTCTTTACCTAAATTCACCCCTACTCCAGCCATTATTCATTCACATAGACTGTGCACCTTCTCACACTGTACAATTGAAATTAATCACTTCCATTATTTGCATATTCATATTTCTCCTACCTGGCTGCATGTAGCCAGGGCCTGTGACTCCCTCCATCACTGAACCCCCCCAGTTCCTTGTACCGGGTAGGCGCCAAGTAGGTGCATAAAATACTGGTGATTGTGTTAATGAATGCTGAGAGAACTGGAAGATGTGTATACAAGAGAGAATTCACTATTGTCCTCTGGTTTTCCAACAGTGAACTTTTATATACTAATCTCCTACCCTAAGCCTTTAGAAGGAAGAGAAGGAACAGCCAGGATGCTGGAGGTGGGGTCAGTTCCTAATTCAGTGACAGTGGCTGCAGCCTTTTCCATTAGTGACAATACTTCTCAGTCTTTATAAGTTCTTCAACAGGCAAAAATTCACCTCCACTGGCCAGAATGCAATTTTTTTGGAGGAAAATAAGGATATGAGTAATCAATCAAGCTGTGTTGACAAAGGCCAAGATATTTAGTGTTTCATTGAGTGAGTCCAATCTTAAAGACAGAGGACACTTTTATCATTCGGAGTGCCAAATAATTCCCTTGAAAAAGTACTCCTGTAGAAGGCCTATGAAACACCTGCCAAACTAAGACCTAAATGCAGGACAAGGAACTCTTGTTTTCCTGAAGTTGATTTAGACACTGTAAGTTAAAGGAAAAACTGTAATCTAAAAAGTATATTTTCACCATTTCCCTGGATATGGCCCTTCCTAGCTGAAGATGAACACAGGAAATACAGCTTGTCACTAAAACGAATAGGGAAAGTCAAGGGTTTCCCAACTCAATGAACTACAAGTCCTACTTTTTTAACACCACACACCACCAAAAAAAAGGGAGGAAATGAAGTGATACTTGCCTTGACTTTGTGTTATCTTCCAATCGGTGATACAGGAAGGTTGTGAACCATTAAGTCACTAAAATGATTTTGGTTTTAACTAGATAAATTTATTTTTAAAAAGTATTTCCTATTTACTGACAATCCTAAAATATTGGTACAAAAGTGTACCATGTAATCAAAACTCCAGGCCATGGAAACAAAGTTACTATCTATAGTTGTGTTACCAATCTTTATTGCAGAACTGCTCACAATAGCCAAGCTATGGAAACAATCCAGATGCCCTACAACTGATGAACTGATGAAGAAAATGTGGTATATATACACACAATGGAGTTTTACTCATCCACAAGGAAAAATGAAGCCGTGTGGTTTGACAGTAAATGGATGCAACTGGAGGACAACATGTTAAGTAAGGCAGGCTCAGAAAGACAAAGGTCCCATGTTTTCTCTCATATGTGGAAGACAGATCCAAAAGATAAAACATACACACAAAACCAAACACGATCATATAAAACTTATATGCAGAACATGTTTGTAATAGTGGAACTATTCTATGGAACTTGGGGGTGGAGGGAAAGGAAAGGAGAATGATAGAGTCATTAATATCAAAATACATTACATCTGTGGGGGTAGAGGATATAATGATATGTATTGACAGCTGCTGAATAATGGGGAGTGGAAGGGAAGGGGTAAAAGTGAGTAATAGCAGGGGTTGAACTGACCGAAGCACAATGTATTCACAGTGGGGATACTTCCAGAAACCCCTTTGAACATTGACCCTGGAACTAATAATGAAAGATAAGACTAAAATCGTCCCAGGTATTTGTGGGAGAAGGGAGGCTGAATGAAGGAGATGAAGGTGAGGGAGTATGGTTGAAGGGCTTCATATACATACATGAAATAGAAAGATGAAACCTCTTGCAATTACTGTGTGTGTGTGTGTGTGGTATTGGGGCTTGAACTCAGGGCCTACATCTTGAGCTATTCCACTCCATCAGCCCTTTTGTGAGAATGTTTTTTCCAAGATTGGAGCCATTTGTCTGAACTGTGATTCTCCTGATCTCTACCTTCTTGAGTAGTAGGATTACAGGTAAGAGCCACCAGCGCCCAGCTTGCAATTGCTTTAAGAGGGGCGGGGAGGTTTTTTGTTCCATGGGGGCAGTCTAACCAACGTACAATATAAGGCTATTCAGAACTGTCACAATGAATGTATTTTGGTTTTTTTCCTCATTATTTATTCATTAAAAAAAACAAAACAAAACAAAACCAAAAAGCCCCAATAATCACACCTTAGGCCCGTTGCTGGTGGCTCACACCTGTAAACCTAGCTACTTGGGAGGCTGAGATCGGGAGGATTGAAATTCAAGGCCAACCTCGGCAAACAGTTCATGAGACCCTATCTCTAAAAATAACCACAGCAAAAAAGATTGGAGGTGTGGCTTTACAAGCTCGAAGTCCCAAGTTCAAACCTCAGACTCACACACACACCCAAAAATCCTTATACCTTTACTGCATCTCAAGCCTTCAAGACTACAAAATCTACAAAATGGGATCTCAGAAGCAGCACTTGTCAAGTCATAGGAAGTGCTTATTTGAGGTGCTTTAAGTTAAAACAGTAAATAAATCAGTATTTCAGCAAATCTAAAATTATAAATTTAGACCCTGTATGTTGATACTGATCCAAATTAAAGCAGTATTGCACCAACTAAGCAAAATAAATCATGACACCTCATAAAAGGTACTGTGGTAAGAAAAAGTCAATTTAATCATTTACTTCAGCAGGCAAGCAATTTGTAAACATTCAGTAGCGCAGCATCCAAGTTACAATTTAAAAAGAACCAAGATTAGTGATTATAATTCTTCCTTCCCTGTTCCCAGAAGAAAAAAAAAAAGAGAGAAAAGATTTGGAAATGAATGATTTAAAACACTACAAACATTTAACATTCAGTTATGTCTTCTATCAGCCTTCTACGCATCCTCTCTGTGTTTTAAAAGATGTATTTACTCCTAAAATGCAGTATCTTGCAATAACTTGTACGCGAGCATCTGCATTCTAGGAAGTTGTTCTTGCACATGGATGTGCACGCATTTTCTCATCTTAAATCCCATTTGCAAAGGGAACATTTATGTCTTGATTCAATGCTTCTTTGACTTCTAGTGGCAGTGTGTCAAAAAGGTGATCTTCCACAACAAGCCCACTTTTCTTGAGCATTCGACACTGGCCCAGCTGGGCTGGCAGGCGGTCCAAGCAGTTCCCTTTCAGCTCCAGCTGAGTAAGCTGCGAGAGCTGACCAATTTTCTCTGGAAGGGAGGTGATACAGTTTTGCCCCAGATTCAAAGTCCTCAACTTCACGCATTTAAACAATTGTTTTGGCAGAATGTCCACTTTGTTCCCAGTGATATGCAAATGCTGCAGGTTCTGAAGCAATCCTATTTCTATTGGAATCACAGAGATATTGTTGTAGCTTACATCTAAGCATCTGAGTTTCTGTAAACTAAATACTGCCACTGGTAAGGATTCGAGCTTATTATTGGAGAAATAAAGTGATTCCAAGTTTTTGACATGGGTAATGGAGGGAGGAATGGTGACAATTTTATTATGCCATAATTTTAAACAAGTCAGTCGTTTCAGATGCTGGAAACTGATGATCTCCTCGATTGTGCGTATGTTATTTGACTTTAAATCCAGTTCTTGTAAATTAGAGAGGCTGAAAATGGCATGTGGAATTCTCTCTAGCTCACAGTTCTGGAGTTCCAGCTCAGCAACATTCATCATTTTCTTAAGGCTGTTCAGTACCAAGAGTTTAGTGCCGTCATTATGAATGACTAACTTTGTAAGGTGTGGCGCCACATCCGTAATGTTGGAGGGAACTTTGGTCAAATTACTCTTCACGTGGAGAATTTTAAGGTGCCGCAACTCTCGGAGAGATTCAAGTCCTATCATCTTATTGTTTTCTGAGTTCAAGTTGCCTATCAAGTACAACTCTCGAAGGTTTTTGAGCAGATACACCCAGGCGGGGATTTCAGCCACATCGGTGAATTTCACGTGAAGGCATCTCAAGTGATCTCGAAGAAAGCTAAAAGCAGTCTGTTCAACTTTTGCAGGGCAGTGGCAGAGGTGGAGCTCTTGGAGGTTAGTCATTTGAGAAATCTTAGCAGGAATTTTAGCTTCTGGAATCAGTTCAAGTTTAAGCACATCCAGGTCTGTGAGGTCAAAGACAGCATCAGGCACGCCCGACAACATGAACAGGTGTAATTCCTGCTTATCCTGGGCATTACGTGACACATGCTGCCTGAGCTTTTCAAATGTCCACTCATGGTTCAAACTAATCTCCCGAAGTTTATTTTCACTGACTTCCGACAAGAACACACCAAACCGCTTGGAATACAACTGGTCATACTGGTCTACCATGTGTAGAAGGAACGCAAAATCGTTTTTGACATCTGGAATGTCACTGAAACTGCTCTCTTCTCTGACTTTTTCAAAAGAATATCCTTCAGAGGTATCCTGAATAACCAGAAGAGAGTGTAGAGGCAGATAAAACCATAAACACAAATAATGGATATATAACTGATGAGGAGCTTTTTCAACATGTAGGCCATATTGTGAGTGCACTCGAACACTTCGTAACCAGTCAGGTGCTCGACTTTAGGCTTGCAGATATGCTCAAAGCTGATTGCGTTGACAAAGTTGGCAGTATAGCAGAGAATAAAAATAAACTTGGCTGTTTTGATAACTGTTTGGACTACATAGAGTTTATAGATCAAGTCACTGTCTTCTACGTGGGCACGGAACTTCCTCACTTTCTCAAACAGAGCCTTAGCCTGCTCCCCATCTTTTTTATCCAGGATGGTCATGCTGGGAACTTCAATCACGGGTTTCTCTGCTGAGAATTTGAAGCCAGTTTTGCTGATCATTGGGGTGCTGGCACTGGGGCTCCCCTCATCACTGCTGGTGGACACATGCTTTGGGAGAGTCTGGGCACCTGTTATTCTCTGCTTGTTTTCCTCTGAATCTTCACATGCCGTCTCAGACAATGCTTTCGTAGTCCAGGGAGATTCAAAACACTTTCCTAGTATGGAAACAAAATGCTCTACTTTTGAGCATGTTTTGGGATATTTGAACCAAAAGTTGCTACTGACCATGAGAATAATAGTATGTATAAGAGCAAGGTATGGAAAGTACTTAGAATACCACGGAAGGGCCAGATGGTAACACATCTGATTAATAAATACATATTGCTGAAAATCCAAGTTTGTTTTCCGGCCCGTTGGGTCTTTCTTCTCTGTCTTTGCCTCCTGACTTAGAACTGTGGAATCTGTGTGAGGATATGTGGCTCTAAGAGGTATGTCAGGTGTCACAGCAGATGTGCCAAAGGAAATGTCATTTGCTGCCCGCCCGTCTTGGTCTTGGTGAGTGGTTGCTTCCATCTTCTGGATTTCGGTGGTGACGTCAGCATTCCCTGCTGGTGTGTGTGCCTTTGAATTTACAGGAGATGGCAATACTGGCAAGCAGACCACCTGATCTTTGGTAAGTTGCATGGTTCCTGCAAAGATGGCTACCATCAACATAACAACAGCCAGGTAATCCATAAACACGTCCCACCATGGTTTAAGGATTCGGTAAGTTGGTTGAATGTCATTAAGTGAAGCAACTTCCGCAAGGGTAAACATTCCTAGAAAACAAGAAAACGAAAGACAGTATTACAGAGAGGCAAGTGAATGAGGCTTGCCCCAAAGCCGTCTCATCCAGGTCCTGATCTTTGTATTCAAAATAAGCATGGTAGAATAATGAACTAAAAGGAACATATGAGGAAATGGTCACTTGTTTCCAGCAGCTTTTCTCTCCTAGTGCAAGAGGCGAAAAAGCAAGTAAGGACTGTCTTCTAGGTGAGACAACAGCAGCATGCATAAAATCCTAGACTAGTGGTTCCTGGACTGAAAGGAACAGTAGGATGGCGTTTGTTGCAGACTGGACTGATTTGAGGCTAAGGTGGAAGGTTTGGAGAAGCAGGGTAGGATGACTTCTGTTTGTACAAACCAAAACTGTAAAAGTCTGGATAGCGGTGTGTTCCAGACTTAGTCCTGCCATTTACTAAAGGTGTGACTCTCCAAGCCCTGTATTTATCATTTGTATAAGGATGTTGGAAAGGTTAAATTAAGTAATGACTGCAAAGCACATCCTCTGGCCACGAGTCTCTAGACAGTTATTTTTGTTAGCTCTTAAGTCACCCTGTTAGACAGATGAAACTAAGGGTCTAGCGTTCAAGCGTAATCTTAGTATACGTGGTTGCCATTTATTCAACATACCAGCTGAAACTGGCACTTGTAAATGCGTAGTTCATGGCAAGTATGAGGATAATACTGTGACAATGCCACTGAATCAGTCCAGATCTGTGTGATCTTTGACCTTGATCAAAGCAGGTAACCTCAGCAGCAATGAAGGGAGCCCTGATACTAGGACACTGGAAAATGTGGTCACCATTCACTAACAAGTGGCGCCTCACAGCATTGAAACTATTTTATACAAATAATAAAGTACAAGGATAATCACTGTGAAAGTAACCAAGAAACGCACAATGTTCACAGTGGCAAGTAATGGGAAGGGATTTCCGAAATCACATGCATGCATCAAATGAATTCTTGAATTTGGAAGGCTTGACTTCTTGAGAAACAACTTCTGCTATGCTTTTCTCAAGAGGTTCCCAAATTTCAATACTATTAAGTAAAACCATCTATTCCATTAAAAAACCTAACAAAAAAAAAAAAAACAATGAAAAGGTGAATACTCAAGTCTTTGGAATGTACTTATTTTTTTTAAATGAAGGACAGAAGATAGATTTTAATCGACCTATATAAGCAGTCTGCAGTGTTGTACTGAGGATTCTGAGGCTAGACCTGATCATTACTGTCTTTCTTGGATAACAAAATGGAGAGGTGGCATTAGAAACTTGGATTCTGTTGCCTCTGTTTTACATTAAGTTTCTGAAAGCAGGGACCATGTCTTTTTTTTCTGAAAGTCTTCACATAACCAGTACTATACAAAGCAGGTGAAACGACTATTTCTTAACAAACTACAATGATTATTTGCTCAATTGTAACAGCAATTCTCTCATCTTCAGTTGTTTTTTAAGTGGAATTTCTCTTATGTAATCAGGTAAACAAAGCCTGAGAACTTCACCCATCTAAATTACTGAGTTGAACTTATATTTTGTGAAAACTGCTAGAAACCACATTCCCAGACTTTAGGGCTTAAGTATGAAATGCCTGGTATCCAGTGGTTTGTTTTTTTTTTTTAATTCCCAAGGAAGTAAGGAAAGAAAAATAAGTATTTGTATCTTAGTAGGGGAAGGGGAGATAACAGGCCCACCTAAGCCCCTTTTATTCTGAGCCCCTGTATCTTGTTTGTGTTTTGCTTTTGTGACTGGTTAGGGAATCTATGCAGGAACAAAGGCTGAAACACAGCACTGAGTCATAGGTCATGAGTGACTCTTACTTCATATATATGGAAAATACATCTCACACAGGTTTAATCCTGGCAAAAAACTTATGACCTACCCTGGGACCATTTGCATGGAAAATAGAAACAAAATCTTTTGTACACAACTTTTCTTTCTTAGGATTTTTCTTTACTCTTCAAATAGTTGTACTGGGTTCTGGAGAAGTGAAGCTATTTGGGTTGGAAGATGGAGGGAGAAGTGAATTTTGACAGTCTCTGTTCTAAAACATTAGTTACTTGTCTTTTACACCTTGATTATTGCTACTGGTCTCCCCAACTCCAATCTTGACCGCCTCCAATCTGTCTTCCACCCTCCGTGGAGTTTTGGTTAGAATCCTCTCCTCTCCAAACTATCTATGCTCTAGGTCTACAGCCTCCAGCTTCTCCAACAAGCCACTCTCCCTGTTATTCAGCTGCCCCACCTCAATGTTTCCTCCATCTGGACTGCTTCCTTCACATCCCCTTAACTAGGCTAAGAGGCTTCTGTCACCTTTTCTAGGAAGCCTTCCCTGGAAGGGAAAGGGCTCTTTTGATGGGCAATCTTGCAAGGGACTCTGTACCTCCACCATCACAGCCCTTACCACACTGTGTTTGCTTGTCTGATCCTCTACTATGTTATCAATTCAATGAGATGGACCATGGTCACCTTCCTTCCTTGACCTATATATCCAATGCCTGACAGATGGTAAGTGCTCAATCAAAGAATTTGTGAGACCTTGATAATCATCTTTAGAAGCATAAAAACTCTGAGAACATTTATTAACTGTCTACATGTAGTACTGGGCAGAAGAACATTTTATAAAGCTGACTTGTCACCACAAAGCAACCAGGAATTGTGCATGAATAAAAACACGAAGCCAGGACTCAGCACAAAATAAAGGGCCACGCAACAGAGAAATTGTTGAATCCTTATAACTGGTGTATTTTGCAACTGTCAAAGCTTCAATGGTGAGCTGGGGATAAAGCCTAGTGGTAAAGTGCTTACCTAGCATGCCTAAGTTCCTGGGTTCAATACCAGCATTGCAAACAGAACAAAACAAAACAACAACAAAAGCTTCAATGGTGTTTTTTAAGCACCTTGTACTTGGGATTTGCTTTGATATCAGGAAAGAGAAAAGGCTCATGGCTTTCCTGGTAGATGAAGAGTGAAAACGTGATAGCAGAAGACATAGCAAAAAAGTACTGAAATGTCACATATGGTCACCAGCCCGTCCTTCACGTTTTCTGCAATAATAATAAAGCCAAGTAATAGAACAGCATGCAACAACTCCAACTTCAAATAGCTCTTTTCCTCCAATGCACTGTCTACTCTGCCACCTCACCAAAGGGTTTGTGCCCTTAATTTCCTCCAGCCATTCCCTTTTGCTGACCTCTTTTACACACTCATTAATTCCCAGCTCGATTAGTACCTTTTCCTGAAAATTCCGATCATACTGTCTAATAGCAAATATGGCTTCCAATCCTGGCCTCTGCAGTTAGTTCTTGAGCTCCTGGTAGGCGAGGACTATGTCTTACGACTATGTCTTACTTTTGTGTCTACCATGCCCCACTCCACCCCTGAGAGAACGAGAAGGCATCTAGGGACAATATTAATTATTACAATAATAATTATCATTTGCCACCTTCCTTCTATATGCCAAGCACTATCTTAGCACTTCACATGACACAATCCCCTATTTTTGTCCAGAATGCATTTCTGAAAATGAAGGTCTTAGGGAGTCAGGGAATGGCTCCATTTCCAAAATTCTATATAGTATAATCCACCAGAATTCCTAAAATCAAAAAAGACAATAGTAATACTCAGTGCTGGTGAGGATGTAGAACTGCTGGTGGGAGTTATGAATCTGCATGACCACACTGGGAAGCCTTTCGGTATTATCTACTAAAACTGAACAGATACCAGGTCGAAACACATAATTCATCCTAAGACATGTACAATGCTCGTGGCAGCACAATTTGTAAGAGCCTCAAACTAGAAGCTATAGAAATGACTACCAACAGCAGAATGGAAAATGAAGTGTGGTATTTTCCACAAATGGAGTATCATAGCAATGAGAATGAATGATCTGTGTACAGAGATATTTGCCTTTTGGGAAATGTATACTTTCACTTCCATAAAATGTTTCAGAGAAATGGTACATGAAGCTTCAGCACAAACAGGTGTCCTAGAAATATGCTGTGACATTCAGCCCTGTCCCAAGGCACAGTTAAGTTGGCTGGGGTCAGAGTCCAAGGAAACTTGTTCCTTTCTCTGCCCCTCTCCCCTTTCTATCTCTCTCCCTGATCTGAGAGAAAGTTCCCACTCTCTCTGGAGTACAGAGGACTGAATTTGACACAGGAAGAAAATGGAGGACCATATGACACACAGAAGCTCTGGCCCGAAGAAACTGAACATAAACAGATGGAACACAAGGGGAAAATCCCCCGAATCCCTTCTAACCTCCCAACATGCCTATGGCTGCTAATGCATGGTGATTTACCCATGACAGGTAAAGAAATAGGCTCACAGAATTTAAGTTGCAGAAGAGACAGATGAGCAGTGGAGCCTGGATTTAAAAATCTCATCTAAGGCCAAATGCACATGTTCTTTCCAGCAGATCACACCGTCTCTTTTTCTCATGTTTGAGATACTTTACAGTCTCCAACTGCTTTCCTATGCAGGCATAGGAGCTGATTATCACAAAAACCGAGTGACTTAGGCATTATTGTTGCCTAATAGGAGGAGGAAACATGAGGCACAAGAAGCTTAAATGAGGGGGCGGAGTGGGTGGTAAGGGAGGGGGTGGGGGCAGGGGGGAGAAATGACCCAAGCCTTGCATGCACATATGAATAAAAAAAAAAAAAAAAAAAAAGAAGCTTAAATGACTGTCCTGAGCTAATCAAGTGAGAGAGCAAACAGAACCTTTCATCTCCAAATCTCTCTTTTTCTGCCAACATCTGTGTTGTTAGCAAAGGGTTGACTACTGAAGGAGGGAACTTCTCACTGTTGCCCTTGGTTGGAGGAGAGAGAGTAATGAAATTACGTAATAACCACTGTTCCTAAGGCAATCTTTCATGACCTTCACTCAGAATTCAAGAAAATCACCAGCTATGTTTTAGGCACTATGGAGGTGAAGGGGGGCAGCTGGGATACAGAGCTCAGAAAATAGTCCTTGCCCTCAAGGGGCTCCCAGCTTAATGGGGGAAGATGAGCAACACATAGGAAGAAAATTGCTCTGACCTGGTTAATATTAGGTATAGGAGCTGCCCAGGACAAGAAAGACCCAGGTCTACATGCAGGAATTGGGAGGGCTTTCACTGAGGGATGGTTTTTAAGATGAGACAGGAAGGAGGGGGTGAGACCCAGGGCAGTAGGCAAGGTATGGAGTAAAATTTTGACCAAAGAAAGGAGTGCAAAGGCTCAGAAATATGAGAGAAATTATGTTAGAGAGACTACCAATACTTGTAATGGTTTCCCTGTAGTTTTCTGGTACATGCATATAGTTCCTGTACAGGTAGCTTTTCTTATGGATGGAAAGCACAGTCTGAAGGAGGCACCCAGGCCACAGGCAGGAAATCAGTACCTTCCTGCAACACTGGCCACTGATTTGCTTGGATCTCAAACACAGTATGTAAATTGGCATGTCCGTTATCCCATTTTAACCCCTAAAGTAGGATAATAACAAATGCTGGTCCTCCCTCCCAGGGGGAGTTTTAACCATGAACTGAAGTAAAGAAGCAGCATTTTGAAAAGCAATTTTTGTGTATTGCTCATGTAT